CAGCGTTGACCGCGAAGTAATCTGAAAACTACTCGAGTACTACGGCGTACCGCAAATATTCATCAACCTTATTCAACAGCTGTACGACAACGGCACATGTCAACTGATCCACAACGGAAAACTCAGCGAGGCGTTTGGAGTAAACACAGGAGTCAGACAAGGGTGCTTATTATCACCAATGATATTCCTAATTGTGGTGGACTGGAATATGCGTCGTCAGACAGTGGGAAATGAGAAGACAGGGATATCCTGGACCGACGTGAAGAATCTAGAAGATCTGGATTTCGCGGATGATTTATGTTTGATGTCACAAAAAGTCGAAGACTTACAAGCGAAGACCGACAAACTGGTCGAAGAAGCAGCAAAGACAGGACTCCAGGTGAACACAGACAAGACGGAGGTTATGAAAATAACCAACCAGCAAAAACAACAACAGCAACATCTAACGCCAATCACCATCAACGGGATGGATTTGAAAGAGGTGACTTCTTTCACTTATCTGGGGAGCATTGTCTCAACCACAGGAGGAACGGACGAGGATGTCAAATCGAGAATCGGGAAGGCGAGAAACACATTCATCAACCTGAAACCAATCTTGGAATCTTCGTCACTCACCATCAACAACAAAATTCGGATTTTCAATACAAACGTCAAGTCAATTTTGCTTTACGGATCAGAAACTTGGCGGGTCACCAAGAATATTTTCAACAGGTTGCAGACCTTTATCAACAACTGTCTTCGCTCCATACTGAAGATTAGATGGCCAGAAAGAATCACAAACAAGAAGCTATGGGAACAAACGAAACAGGAACCAATCGCCCAACAAATATGCAGGAGGAAGTGGAGATGGATTGGACACTCACTGAGGAGGCCGTTGGGTGACATCGCGCGTCAGGCCATAGCTCGATTGGAACCCGAAAGGGAAGCGGCGAGTGGGACGTCTAAGGGTGACATGGAGGAGATCGTGTGAGGAGGAGATGAAACAGTATGGAATAACATGGACGCAAGTGAAAAGAACAGCAGAAGACAGAAGCAAGTGGAGCCGTGTATTTGAAGCCCTATGTTTCACTAGGAACCCAAGGGAACAATAATAATAATAATAATTTCATTACAACAAAAGTTAGTTAAAAAGATATCAAACAATTTAGTATTCCACTGTTGTTTCAGCTCATAATCGAATCATATTTTACTGGCTATTATATTCATTAGTACGCCGATTTAAATCTGATTCTGACTTCCTTAATATACTGATAGTAGTAAGGCGAGAGCTGATCTTCCCAGTTTTGGTCACTTAGTCAAATCGTAGGATCCTAAAACAGTTGCCTTGTCAGACACCTTATTACGTTCCTTGCACGAAAAGTCTTCTAAGAATACATTGAAAAGGTGTAGCAGTACAGAATCTTATAGTCCAGCAAGCCTCCTACTATAAGCTTTAATTATACATTTTTAAATGAGTGTACTGATTTCATTATTTATTTAAACACTTTCTATAGTTGTAGCAGTTAATTAGCTTTTAAATGAAACCAACATTTTTAGATGTTATTAGGATGGAGTGACAAGGTAGGAGTTTATAGACTCTGCATTCTTGCTAGTCAACATTTATCAGTAAGGCATCATCTAGTGCTGATGTGAGATGCTTTACCAATACTCCCTTAATATTACGACTGACGTCCAGTAGAAATGGATTATAAATAAACAGTCACACAGCGAGCCAAATATAAATTATCGATGTGATAGGAAGCGACTAGAGTTAAACTCGACACTTTAAGCCACGGGATACTGAGGTAGAAGATTGTATATTCCGCGGACTTGGTAATTTTATCAGACGGTCTTCCAATTATCTAGCATAATTTTATGTGCAATGGAAGTGTATATTTATGATGTATTTTGGTCTAGTAAAATTGCCTGCATAGGTATAGGCTAAGTCTTTGTCATCTGAGATTTTTGTCACTCAGGGTGATTATTTATTTATTTTTTTCATCCCATTACGTTACCAGTGGAACATATGGCTTCAAGCAAGAGCTTTGATTTTTCAGTAGCAGTTTAATTTTACGGGGTAAGATTGTCAGTCTAATGCCAAACCTTCCTTCTCTACCGGTCTTATTACCAGTTTAGGAGTCCGTTGGCTGGTGATCGAACCCCGGACCACATGCATGGTTGGCGAGCATTCTACCACTAAACCACCGACCCATGGCTCAGAGTGAAGCAGAAGGTATTTGAAGATGAACAGCTGTACTCGGTATTCAATCATGTTGTCTATTGCAACACTCAAACTCAACACGACTACAGCCTGATGAATGTGTATCTATGTGTTCAACTTCTTCTATGGACTCATTACATAGATCCTATTCAGAGGGATTTATGCATGTAAGCATGTGAAAATGTACAGCTGTAGTCAGTAGCCAGACGTACATATAGCACTGTTTTATCTAGTTTTCTGGGTGGCAGACATTAAATTAAAAGCAGAGCAGGCATTGTCAGTGACTTACCATTATTCACAATAACCTACAGAAAGGAGCGCGACTACGTTTGCTACAGATAGCTGAAGGAGTAGCAATCAGTACACGAAAACCTAATCTATGTATCCAAAGGAAATATGATAAGCCACATTGTTTACCTTAGTCTACATTAAGATCCATATATCCTATACAAGAGTTGGTAATCAATACTTTGAATGCCTATCCCATTTTTTCCCTCCTTATTTGAGACGTTTTGCGACTTCATGACCTTTCTTATTAAGTCTGTTGCCTAAGGCTTACGTAGTAATTTTTCATTTGTTATTGTATTCACACAATTCTCTTCTTCCCAGCATGTTAGCTCCTTTATTATTCGATAATTGTTTACTAACAGTACCAGCCTGTTCACACAACACCGTTATTAATGTTTTATCGCCACCTCTTGAACTTTCGTCCAGCGTATTCCATTTTTGTAGTATTTACATTTTCTCACCTAATACTGACTACAGATGACCCCTTGTTGAAGCCTATACATTTATTGATTATTTATTAGAAGTTAGATCATGAACTGACTCAAATTAGAGAACCACTGAAAAACTAGAGAGTACTGAACCGCTATCTGGTCCTAGTTTAAGACTCTTCCTGAACAATGCTCATACGGGCGATCAGACCCAGGACCTTAAAGTTAACAGGTGAGCCGTTTGACAATTCAGCTACTTGAACGGAATCCAGTGATCCGTAAATTCTAACTTTTGCCACTTCCTGATGTAAATTGAAATCAATCAAGTCCCTGAAAATCAATACTTGAAGATTAAGAATTTGTGAGCATTTCATTCAGTTATTTAATCTCATACATTATACACGCATTAAGATGATAATCAGAACTAAGTAAACATTATTATTCGACCTTTTACGGTTAGCAAAATGTAATTTCTGGTGTAAGTCGATTTTAGTCTGCCTCTAATGATGCAAATTCTTCCAATTCCTTACGTTCTCATTAGACCGTAGGGCTCCAGATTTCGGGATGCAGTAGTAGTAGTAGCATGGAATGGCAATCAAACCTCTACCTCAACTTTATAGACTTTGAGAAGGCCTGCGACAGCATTGATCGCGAAGTAATCTGAAAACTACTCGAGTACTACGGCGTACCGCAAATATTCATCAACCTTATTCAACAGCTGTACGACAACGGCACATGTCAACTGATCCACAACGGAAAACTCAGCGAGGCGTTTGGAGTAAACACAGGAGTCAGACAAGGGTGCTTATTATCACCAATGATATTCCTAATTGTGGTGGACTGGATTATGCGTCGTCAGACAGTGGGAAATGAGAAGACAGGGATATTCTGGACCGACGTGAAGAATCTAGAAGATCTGGATTTCGCGGATGATTTATGTTTGATGTCACAAAAAGTCGAAGACTTACAAGCGAAGACCGACAAACTGGTCGAAGAAGCAGCAAAGACAGGACTCCAGGTGAACACAGACAAGACGGAGGTTATGAAAATAACCAACCAGCAAAAACAACAACAGCAACATCTAACGCCAATCACCATCAACGGGATGGATTTGAAAGAGGTGACTTCTTTCACTTATCTGGGGAGCATTGTCTCAACCACAGGAGGAACGGACGAGGATGTCAAATCGAGAATCGGGAAGGCGAGAAACACATTCATCAACCTGAAACCAATCTTGGAATCTTCGTCACTCACCATCAACAACAAAATTCGGATTTTCAATACAAACGTCAAGTCTGTTTCGCTATACGGATCAGAAACTTGGCGGGTCACCAAGAATATTTTCAACAGGTTGCAGACCTTTATCAACAACTGTCTTCGCTCCATACTGAAGATTAGATGGCCGGAAAGAATCACCAACAAGAAGCTATGGGAACAGACAAAACAGGAACCAATCGCCCAGCAAATATGCAGGAGGAAGTGGAGATGGATTGGACACTCACTGAGGAGGCCGTTGGGTGACATCGCGCGTCAGGCCATAGCTCGATTGGAACCCGAAAGGGAAGTGGCGAGTGGGACGTCTAAGGGTGACATGGAGGAGATCGTGTGAAGAGGAGTTGAAACAGTATGGACTAACATGGATGCAGGTGAAAAGTACAGCAGAAGACAGAAGCAAGTGGAGCCGTGTATTTGAAGCCCTATGTTTCACTAGGAACCCAAGGGAATAGTAATAATAATAGTAGTGACGTTGTTTTCGTGAGGTGTGTTCAGTAGCCTCACGCCCAACCTTCCCTTTCTTTCAGTCTTGGCGTGCTTTCAGAGTATCGAACCTGGACCCCCAGTTTTCTTCGTGGGGAATCTACTACTGAACCGACTCCTTAACCAGTACAACTACCTGATCCTAATAATATAGGTTAGAATTGTGTGAAGTGTGATTCAAATAAAACGACATACATACAGTTCATAGTTTGAACCAGACTAAGTAACCTTTAGAACAAAGTGAGTAATACTCAGTGTCCTAGAATCCACTCGTTTAAAACAATCAACAGATTCACAATAATAGTAACAACACATGAGGTACTTACCTTCAGCAACTGACAATTCTTTGACTGCTGGATCTCTATACAACTTTTCGTCTATCCTCTGTTTTACATGACCTTCACGACCATTATAATTATTATCATTGTTATTGTCACGATGATACTGATTGTAATGATGAATAGAGCTCCCGCCTTTACTTAAAAAGTGATAACTCCCTTGAAATCCACGTGCATGACTACTTTTCTCATGTGTTTGAAGTGTAAGCATTACAAACAGGCTATCAGACACAATATCAGCATGTTCTTTACTACCGCATAAGAATAACAGGCGTTTACGCAGTTCATATATTGGTGGTTGTTCAATGATATCTTCTAAGTGTAGGATAGAATTTCTATCAGGCAGTGAAATGACAATCTCATGAAAATGAATTGTATCACGTTGTGAAGTGGAATGACAACTGTGTAAAGAATTTGTGAGAGAGAAAAGAGAAAAAGAAAGATTTAACCAGTTCATCGATTACAGTTTAAAATAAAAAAACTTTAATGAGCGTGAAATTTTCAAGTTAGTTGAAGTAATATTAATATATGTGTAAAACTTGGGCACTGTGGTAGTAAGTAATTCCATATTAGTTTGTTTATTAGATGTATCACACAGTGAAACAGTATTATTTACTGGATGACACAGTTTCGAACAAAATTTATTGCTTCATAATCACATCAATTATAATCACACGACTTCGAAACTTGAGTTTTATAGTTTTCTTTGTTCTCTCCTATTTGTCGTCGTAGGGGTAGTAGGATTTTCCAGATATCTGGGACAGGTGTTGAATCATTCCTATTACACATATTTGCAATTGATTCGATAAACAAAGCTTCCGTTATCAATCTCTCCCTCCACCCTGCTGTTACATTAGATTTTAAAACTGTCATCCTATCCCATCCTATTGTATGGTTGTGTGTAACTGCATGTAGTGAGTGGTATTGCTGAACTATTCTCTAGATTTCTTATCTTATTCGGGTCAACCAATCTAGATTTTGCTAGGTTTTTATGCTCGGCTAGTTTGACTGCACCTGTTCTACTACTTTGACCTATGTATTTGACCTGACAATCATTCCGGCAGGATATTAGATAAACTAAATTGTTTTGTTTTAAAGGCTCCACAGGATTGATTCTTTAACCGACAAAGCTTGTTTCTAATTGAGTTTGTGGGTTTGAATGCCAGGCACTTTTATTCCTGCCTTGTTAAGAATTCTGCGTAAGGTTTCCGAGTTTCCTTCCTTGTATGGAATTACTACTGATGATTTAGATTCCTTATTGTTGGTGTCGTCATTAATACTATTATTATTATCATTATTATTGTTATCATTATTATTATTGTCACTATCGCTACTATCATTATTTATTTCATTTTTACATTTCTTTACATATTTCCTGACTAATTTATCAGGGTAATTATTAAGTTTCAAGGCTTCTTTTATGTGTATCACTTCCTGTCTTCGAAACGTCATCCAGTAAATAATACTGTTTCACTGTGTGATACATCTAATAAACAAACTAATATGGAATTAGTTGAAGTAAATTTGAAAAGATATCATAATGTACAGCTAAACATTGGTCGTAGTAGGAGTCGAACTAGAGGCTGTTAAAAAACTGACCGTTAGAGTTTTTATTTGATTTAATCAAAAGACATCATTGGTGACAAGGTTGCAGTGAACTAGATTTATATTTCTAGCTTGATTGGAGAACCACTCACTCAACTGCTCGATTATTTCGTGGCCTTTGTGATACATGTTCAAAACATCTCTCACACCAGTCAGCCTTACTTTACAGGTGATTCTAATAGGGGACACCGGTGAAGCTAAAACGAAGCTTCATATAAACAAGTTAATTTATCCACACAGATTGAATTGACCCAAAGCGGCAGTTTGTCTTTCACACATTCAATGATCGTTTTTCGACTGCAGAAATTGATCGATAACTCAGTCGAAAAGAATGCTCACCTCAGCAATTCATTTATTTTATTTTATTATAGCTTGACTCCACACAGTATTTTTGATACAAGTATGAAATTTTCAACATGTGATATCGGTAGCCCAAATTTTGCAGGCCGACCATTGATATTGGGTGTGCGTCGGCCGGGGATCGAACCCCGGACCATGTGCATGGTCGGCGAGCGTCCTAATCGCTGTGCCACCAACGCAATCTGGATAAGTGATCCTGCAGAACCTTACAAAGCGTATAAAAGAATATAAGTATGATTTTACAGTCTTTGAGGATGACTTCATCGATAAAAAGAAAATTTTCTTCGCTGACCTGACATTTTGGTTTTGTGCATGTCGGATACTCTGGAGCTATATGACTAGTTAGAGGAGGTTGGAGCTAATGAATTCCAAGATACGTTGTTGAACAGTAAGACTGTCAATTGTTGTTTTTGTTCTCAACAGGATGGATGAACTTATGTGACTTAAAAGGAAGGCATTTAAATTATCAATATTATCCCTCTGGGTTTGGAGAGGAATACAGGAGTTTAGTAGCACATCTGCATTCCGCTCTGTTCCCCAGAGTCTTTATTAGTAAGCTTCTCGATTCCTCATAAGCTTCCATTTGTTTTTAACATGATCTCCTCTGTGTCAATCTAAAAATCACGTCCAAATCATTGTTTCCCATTCGGTTCCCACTTGAGGGCCTGCCTACTGTGTGGTGTCACTGAACAACCTTCTCAGCGTATTTTCAATCTATCTCCATTTCCTAATGTATATATGTTGGAAGATAGATTCTTGAGTGCTTCGCTACCTGCCAAAGTTCCATGTTACTTATCCTTTGTCGCCATCTGGTCATTAGTATTTAATTCAACAGTTTTTTCAACTTTTTAGCCTTGGTGCAGTAGATTGCCTGCATATGATCCACTTGGTTAGTGAAACTTAGGGTTAAAAGGAAAAGATGGTATTTTAAATCCTTATTCCCTTCATTTTACCATTGTTTGTCTAGAAGATATTCTACAATCATTAATTATTTCATTTCATTGCCTTGTAAGAGTATGAAAGGAAAATTTAGGCAATGCTACAAAGTACATACATTTGTTTGTTTATTCTATACGTTATGCAGTGGGATACATTGATTTGTCATTAGGGTGTAGGCGGGTGTATTAGTGAGGACTGAATTCTGTCAGTTAAGATTCTTTAATGCGTTCAACAAGTTGGGTGGCTCACCGTTGCTAAGCTCTGTAAATGGTTGTCAAATATTTGGAGGCAACCAGGAACTGGTTTTCGTGCTTGTTGGCATCTATTAGGAAGACTTATCGCCAATCTTCATAGAACTGATATTCCCTATATAATCCAAACTGTCGTCACCCAGCGCTGCGACTACAGATATCGTCAGTGAATTACCTGAGCTCACGATTGACCTCCAGTGGGACCGTAATGGACACACTGACTGGTCACTAAGGAGTAATCAGCCACCCACTTTTACTTATCGCCGGAAAATCAATACTAAATCACTATGTTCTGCATTGGATAAAGCCCGCATGAAATATTCTACTTCTGTTTTCCTTCATTCTTCACTATTTTCTCATTTCGACGCATATACGAAAGCGCTTTACAACAGTACAACGTATGATTATTCATATTAACTAACGGTTTGAATTAGTTCAAGATTCAATGGTGAAGCATTGAAATGTTGGTGAAGTTTAAATATAGCAGCCATCCACATCAGCTTTACCAATAACTTTGTGGAGTTAATCCGAATTAAAAGGATGACAATCGATCATGGTGTTTTGAGATCCATTTACACTTCTGACCCTGTGCCTTATTATTATTGTTTCCTTTAATTCCTAGAGGAACAAAGGCTTCAGCCGTGCGTATCCATTACGTTCGGTTCTCTGCTAGAGTTTTACCTAGCTCCAGTCTGTCCACACTTTTCATCTCTCTTCACATGACCTCCTCCAAGTCACCCTCGCACTGACGACCAACTCGCCGCTTCCCTTTCGGGTTCCACTCGAGCAACGGCCTATCGTGTGATGTCACTTGATGGTTTCCTCAGAGTATGGCCAATCCATCTCCATTTCTTCCTGCATATTTGTTGCACAATCGGTTCCTGCTGGGTTGGTTCGCTCCCAGAGATCTCTGTTGCTGATCATATTTGAATTGAGCAAAACTAGTAGTACTGACTTCACATTGGAGTTGAAAATCCCGATCTTATTTTTGACGCTGAATGCTGTTGACCTCCACACAAACTTGAGAGTAGTGAAAGCTTGTCTTGCTTTTCCGATTCTTGCTTTGATATCCTCGTCAGTTCCGCCCGCCTGTAGTTGAAACGATGCTTCCCAGGTAGGTAAAAGAGGTTGTTTCTTTCAGATTCCTCCCGTTTATGCTGATCGTGTGTTGTTGTTTTTTGTCCAGGTCTATATTAATCTATCCCGAAACACTACTCCTCCCAAAGCAGTAGTTATTCTGTCAAGTTTCGCAGGCAAGTGAGTGTTGTAGTATCTCTATTCAACCCATTACTGGAACAGTTATCAAACAGCCGACTGTCGAGGGATTTGATTCGTTTAATCCTGCTGTAACCCTTACTGGTTTTTCAAGGTCATGTATCAAGGTGACTGCTATAAAATAACTTCTGCTAAACCTTTTCAATGTTCACTTCACTGTAGTTTATTCAAATAAATAAAAGAACATGTTATAAAGTTATTTATTTGATAGTAGCTAATGGTAACACCCAGGATGAGCGTTTCCTTCTATTTTGGGACCTACGTACCCCAGTGAATGATGATGTTCCCATTGATACTCCAATCCAAAGTGTTATCAGCTAGGTGACTGTGTCACAGGAGAAACCACCAGTGTAATATCTAGTAGTCGTTATTTATCGAAAATATTATTCTGATGCTTCCGTCTAACGAGCCAGAAATGAGGCGAAACACGAATCCTGTATTCTACTTTTAGCCATCATCAGTCAAATTTAACGCGTCGTCGAGGCATTCATGCATGGATACTGAATGTCAAGTAAGACTAAACTGTTCGATTCAGAAACACCCATAAACGGGAAATATATAAAATAATTTAAACTTCTTAATCCAGTAGTATGTGCTTCTGTGGTTCAGCGGTAGGAGCCTCGACAGCCATGCGCGTAGTCCTAGCCTTTGCTCCCTTAGTCGGTTGTAAGCCTGGTAAACTGAGAAGGTTAGAGTGAAGCTAGCAACCTAAAATCACTACTACTATTACTACCACTGGAGCTTCAAAGCACCCGCCTGAAGCCCTACATTCTGCCGGGAATGCGAAGCGGTGGAATAAATAATAGAATAATAGATTCAGTAGAATATTGCTATTCAACTTACTTATTATAATTATTAGACCAAAGTTGAATATTTTTCAAGCTAATTACAATCCTTTCATTTGTTTTAGCTAAAAAGTAATATTTACACGTCATTGAGGTATTATAAAATTGTGGATAGTTAGGTGGGAAAAATTTCCCATTTGCTTTGGTATGCAAAAATGCTTCTTTACTGTTTGGTAGATTGTTGTTCTTGTATTTATTTCTATCTGCACTATCTCGTCTATCCTTCATCATGCTGGTGTCTTCGTCATCCGCATTGCTCGTAGTGGTGATAACGTATTCATCATGGTTTCCGTCATCTAATAACTGACCAGACAAAGATTTTATCTTGTAGGATGGACTTAAAAAGATACGATCACATTTTGTTGATTTGATCGGTAATCCATCACTTCGATAAGCATCTATTTTAAGGTTGGGAAAATAGAAAAGAAGAAATGAAAAATAGTGAAAATAGGAAAGTGAATCAGGGAGAGAATTTTCAATTTTCTTCTTGTCTTTTTTTGTTTTGACAAAAAGAGTTTCATTAACTTCATGAGAGATTTAATTATCAAACAAAATTTCGGATAGGAAATAATTTGAAATAAAATAAGTAATAGGAAAATGTTCCATACGAACTGCTAGGACTTCATCAGTTTTTGTTCATGATCTCATTTAAGGATAACTCCTTGAGTCCTAGAGAATTTGTAATGAAGACGGTGTTGATGATGAATTCAAACAATTGAAAGACGGGCACACTCTCTGATAACGGATGAGAAAGAAAAAGAAGAAGAAATATCAAACATTAATGAAACTCTCAAGCAAAACATCTACCCAAGGGACTTCATCAACAAAATCAACACAGACATTAAGTATGGCCGAAAACACATTCCGAAAACATGGACCTCAGCAGTCGTCATTCCATATAGGGCAGAGACGTCAGACGATTTCAGAAGAGTACTCAATCAGCTCGACATCAGAGTTTTCTTCAAAACATTAGACACACTTCAAAGCAACCTTGTCCATGTAAAAGACCAAATCCTTAGAGATTCTCTATCTAATTGTGTCTATAAAATAAAATGCTTGGAATGTGATGCGATATACATCGGACAAACATCTGAAGAAATCAAAATCAGAAGAAATGAGCAACGTAGAGCATCTGTTTGACCACCGAGAAATCCCGTTGAACTACACAAACTTGAAAAATCATCAGCCATAGGTCTACATGCTATAGAATCAGGCCACAAAATTGATTTTGACAATATTGAAATAATCCAGAAGGGTTTCAGAAATCACAAAGAACGTCTCATATCAGAAGCACTTCACATCAAGTGGAAACAAAATTGCCTGAATAGGAATGATGAACTAAAACAGAATCTGACCTGGTTACAACAACTCCCTCCCCCATGAAGTGATAAAATCAACACGAATGTGATAAGCAAGTTCATTATGTAAACACACACTGCCTTTATAAATTTAAACACTGATCAAATCCGACAAACTACACTTGGTTTTGTTGTCTTTACCAATTGACCAACTTGATTACGAAAATTGTCTCCAGACTAACGAACGATGATCAAGTTAGTAAACTTTGTTTTGATACCATAACAGATGTACTATTACCTTTGTTATTTGGTTTAGTGATCTTCATTGTTATTTTAACTTTCAATATGTCCTTTTAACTTGACCTAAGTTTATTTTCTCACCCCTCAACTCTTTGCTATATATGTGCTGAGATTTTGTAAATCGCGGTTTAATAATACTTAGATAAAGCTATTAGCATTAAATAGCGAAACGTCAGTAAAAACAATATCGTTTTATTTTTCATTCATTGGGAAATACAAAAACCTTTATTATAATGAATTGAAAGAAACCATCACAGAGAATCAATGTCCACTACGCTTCGTCGAGGTCACTAGCAAATTACGTGGAAGAAATACAGACAGGGATAAGCTAGCTCAGAAAGTGTTGTGGCCAAACTTAAAATTTAAGAGTGACACTGTCAGTGAGGTACTTAAAAGGCGTCTGACAAGATTATAGAGAAAAGCGTTCTTTGCTGACACTTTACGAATATCCTACCTTTTTGTTAAGGAAATGTTACTTCGATTGTCTAATTCCATGTGTATTTATATATTCACCTGCTCTTGTGGAGCTAGATATATAGGATGTTCGTTGCGAAACATCTCGCGCTGCGTTCGAGAGCATCTCCCAGCTTGGTTGAGCAAAGGAGAGAGTATAGGTATTAATGCATCGCTATCGCAGCATGTTGTAGATACTGACCACGCAGCATCTGACACATCGTTTAATATAGTCTACAAAGTTCGACAAAGCTTACCGAAAGGGACACAAGTGCATTTGCTTTGTATAACAGAGGCTTTAGTAATATATAACATAAAGTCAGAACTTTGTGTACAAAAACCATTTGTATGATCTCTTTCGTTACCATTGTCTTGATTTTACTATGTAATTCACATGACAACTTTAGAGAGTTTGAGGCAATCGGCAGGAAGCCTTGTATCACCTAGGTTTCGTGCTAGTTGGCACTCACCAGTCAGCAAGGCGTGACTACAATCTTGAAGGAACTCATTTCCTTTCTGAGATTCGAACCCGCGTCACCCAGTGCTACATTCAGAGACGTTACCACTGAGCTATTCGGGCTCGCGATTGACCTCCTGTAGCACTGTAGTGGGTAGTTTTATTGGACACTAGTTTAACGTGTCTAGTCCTTACTGCTGACTGCCTCCAACTATCTAATATCATCAAATCAATGCGCACCGTGATGGCGAGCTACCTAGAATGGTGGCCACATTGCAAACCTGACTGATAGAATTCAGTCTGATATAGAGATAGGACTAGACACGTCACACTATTTACTAGTGTCCAATCAAACATGACAACTTTGTTATCCTTCTTTATTCCATGTTCCATTTTTGTTTTGTTTATTTTTATTTTATATTTTATTTCACTTTATGTTATCATAATCTAACATGTTATCTAGTCCACTATTTTGACAACATTTCACTTATCCAATGTTTCCATCATATTATATTCACATATTTACATTTCCGAATGTACTTAATTTACCGACCATCTATTTCACACATGTTTATTGAACTTTAGACTGACTCTGGTTTATTTATTTCAAATATGAATTAAAAGTCAATCTGAACGAAGAATATTCTTTCCAATAATTTCTCCTCTTCAGGTTCTTAAAATTATAAAATAGAATATTTGTTGTCGTTACAGTAGCTGCCCAGTGTTCCCAGGAACTGAAAGATATCTTACCTAATCTTAGCTCTTCTTCCTACATAAACATTTCAACTGTGCCTGTTGTTCAAGTTATATAGGGCGTCAGATTAGGCCGATTCATCCAGAGGGTTCGAAGACGTTTACCAGCTTGATTCAGCAAGGGGAAATGAAATGCATAAAACGCTCGATTCTGCCACACTTGGACATCACATCGACACCAACACAGTAAATATCAAATTCCGAAGTTGTTATCACGTACAGTTCACTTAAGTCCCCTACACATAGCTGAAACTGTTGCAGTAAGATCGACCAAACCCGAAACTCTGCATTCAAAAAAAACGTGCATATGCCGTTCCTACTGTGGCCAAACTTGAATGAATGTTTCTTCTTCTCACAAAGAATGCCTCTTATCCTAAACCCTCTTGGGTTTTTTTTTTCTTTTGCTTTGCTCATTATTGCAATTATTATTATTCTTTATAATTCTACCCCTCGTTCAAACATTCTGTCAATACTATCGAATTTTCTACTTATACTATCCGGACTTACTATTAGTCATAATATCTCCTTTCTTAAGATATGTTTCACCTGTTTCATTTCACATATTCGTTATTTCATTATGAACCTCTCATTGCAGTTTTACTATCTCCTTTGTAATACATACTGATTTGTACTAGCCACTCGTCTGACACCTTTTATAACCCTGAACTGACTTGTCAAGTTTTCCTACCTCACGTTCTACGAATTTATTATGACTAATCACAATCATCACTGTCTCGCATTTCACAATATTTTATAACTGAATTCAGCCTAGCACGTTTGTCACACAAATACGACTATTTATTTTGACACCCAATAATCTACGTTAAAAAATGTATCCACCGCATAACTGACTATTATTGTAACGCCAACAAATATTATATTTTGCAATTGTAAGAAAATGTAGAGAAGAAATTATAGAAAAGAATATTCTTCGTTCAGATTGACTTTTAATTAATGATATGAGAATATTTCACACTATTAAATTTTATATCATATATCTAATCAATTTTTGACTCATAATTATATACACAAATATTATCACACTTTAGTATTTCTGCTCACTGTAAGACTTTAACACATACACACAAGAAACTGTTTGCTGTTGCATGTTGTAATCCATGTATATATATATATATGTGCGTCGGTGGCACAGTGGTTAGGACTCTCGCCGACCATGGACATGGTCCGGGTTTCGATCCCCTGCCGACGTACACCTGATATTTATGATCGGTCTACAAAATTCGGGCTACCGATATCACATGCTGAAAATTCCATACCTGTACCTAAAATGCGGTGTGGAATCAAGCTGTAATCAAAAATAAAAAAATAAAAAATATACAGCTATGAAAATGAAATTGTCGTAAAGGGAATTTCTCTTCGCTAAATTCTTTGTTTTCATGTCACAACGGGGATTATTAATCTAAATCCTAGAGTGTTTGTCAAATGTCAGACAAAGAGCACATTAGAGGTTAATTGGTGGTTGGTGACCAGCAATGGACTCCAGTATGCGTCCTTCGTCCTTTTTGGGACTCCTCACTGGATGTGTCTACACTCCGCAGTGAGTGATGATGTTCCCACCAAGCTTCGAACCCAATGCCCATAGTTTCAAATGGCTAAGCGTTATCCATTAGACAACTTGAGCCATGAGAGCCACCTCTTGTGCAACGGATCTTATTAATTATTTAATTGAATATTAGATTCTCCCGTCGATTGATTGGACCGAAGTGCTTTTGAGACTATGGGAACTGGGTTCGAGGCTCGGTGGGTACATCATCACTCACTGCGGAATGCAGGTACATCCAGATGATAACGAGTCCCAGATATGACGAAATACGCATCATCTATTCCACTGCTAGTCACTATCCACCAGTTAACTTCTAATTACATGCCCAGACATAGTCGAAGCATCTACACAAGAAGCCGACATGTCAACCTGAGATCGAGCACTTCAATTAAAAGAGCAAATTACAAGCAAATTAGTGAGTTGATCCCTCAGAATCTAATGCCCGGTGTTTCCGCTACTAATAGTTAATTGTAACTGCCATCTGGTATCAACTTACTCAAAGTAATAAACTTTACCGGTTGCAAATTGTGATTAGAGCTCAAAGAAGTTCTATACAAAAGGTAGTTATGAATT